CAACGTCCCTTAAAGCGAAGAATCGATAAAAATATAAACGATACGCGATATGTGTAACCCTAGCCAACAAACTTTCCTGAAAAAAAAAAAAAAAGAAAACTTTTGATATCCCCTAAAAAGTTAAAAATCAATAACCTTCGTACGCTTTCATATCTTTTTTTCTTTTCTTTTTTTTTTACAAGCGTTATTCCTAAGCGTAGCTAACGAACTTTTGCAAACGAGATTTTCGACGTTGCTCGAGAAAATGAAAAACCTATCGAAAATAACAACTGCGAACCGTGACGATGCGATGTTAATAAAAGGGCGATGACGAGCGAGACAGGAGGATCTCGATGACGTGTTCTCCGAGACTGGACAATTAGGGACTTTGGAGATCGTCAGAGTGGGGGATTATATGGGCAGTGAACAGGTGTTGTGCAACGAAAACGCGGAAATGCAATGTCGATAAACTCGTCTAAGCGAGAGAGCCCCAGACGACCGGTGCGGCGTCGCCAGACTCTCACTTGCCTTCCCCTATCTCCTCTGCCGGTTTCTCTGGCACGTTACAGAAATACACCGGGAAAATTATGTCACTAATGCGTCTGGATATATCTCTAGACGTGGAAACGTCGCCGTTTAGATGCGCCGTGGGGCTAGCTGGAGCATCCTCGGCTCTAACACACGAGCGCGCTTTTCCTCGTCGCACCAGGGTTAATTCGGTCGGATAAGGGTTAATTCCGTTGAATCATTTATTTTCTCGAAGAAAATTGCCATGCATTTGAATTGGTATAAATTGTTACTGTAGATTTGAATCTTCTGTCTTAGAAGGAATATTCTTTAAACGGAAGATTCCCACGCGAAGAGGATAATTACAGTTGTTAGCGTCGATTCGAACTTCTTGGTTTAGATTAGTATCGTAAATCGAAATATTTCGAAATAGTCAGCTTCCATCGCGAATAATAAATAAGAAGAAGATTTAAATTTTCTATTTTACAAAATGCTATGAAGATCAGAATATTCTAAAGTAGGAGATTTCAGCGCGAAGGAGATGCGACGAAAGAACTGCTGTCGTGTATTTATATCAATTGAAATGTTCTATCTTAAAATAAAAATATTTTATAGTTCAAAGATAGTAAAACTTAACGCAAAGTGATGTGTAACTTTTTAAGAGTTAAATTCGGTTTGCTGGTATTACGTTCTCTTTTTCTTTGGAACTTTATTTAGGCGGATACCCTTTTTAGATCTCGACTGATAGATAGAGAAGATATAAGACGATAGGGATAATAAGATCGAACGAAGGAGATATCGATGTTCATAATGGAACCGCGTTGAATGCATGCTGTGTTATAGAGCGGACGAGAAAGTACCACTACTGTGAATTAGAATATACATTTTGAATGGAATATTCTGATATTAGTTACGAAGAATGATGTCCTATAGAATAACGTTTTCGATTTGCGATTTTTTATTATAAGACCTGTAATATTTTTATCAGCAGGAAATTGTTCGTTGCATAAATTATCTCGGTACGAAGAAAGCGTAAAAAGCAGAATTTGTAAAGTTCTCCAATCGAGTTTCATAATTTCGCGACTAATGATCTTTGAATTATTAAACAGATTAAATAGTTAATTAAAAAAATTATACGGCTATTATAAAGTGAAAATTATATAAGTATTACGTGGAAATTGTATAATATTCCATAACCGACAGTGTTCGAGATATTAAAGTTATTAACAGTTGAAAAAATTGTACATTACACTGTATGGAAATTTTTATCGGGTATACGATATCGAAGGAACATGAAGTTGAAGTTTCATTCAAATAAATGGCATCTCTTACGCAGTAGCTCGTTAATAATCGCCGTAGAACACGGCACTGTAGGTTTCATTCCCTTTTAATTACGAAAGATAATACGTCATTAACTAAGGTAGTGAGTCGAAGGAAAACAATTTTAATGGAGAAAGCTCTGATCGTTTAGAACATCGTAAAGTCAGAGGGAATGCTATTGATGAATAAATAACTCCTGGGATGGCTTGTTAATTCTACCGAACATAAACCGTATTACGAGCACATTAGATTTAAAGGAGAAAGTAGCAAAGTGCTGTACTAATGACTTTAATTTGAATATACACGCCGAGACGTTTGACGACTTCCATTTTTTCCTCCATACGGAAAGAAAAGAAATTGACAGATTTGTTCGAGTTGGCCCGACAACTTCCTTCGTCTGCAAATTCGATTCGGAGATTTTTAATATCACGTCTTTAACCAGTTTGTCAGCTACGAGTATTTATCTAAATCTTAATTAATAACGACATTATTATACGTGTATTACATTGAAGCATCTGCATATTAGATAAAAATTTAGAAACACCTAGAATAAGAGAAATCGATCGATTCGTTTATCGAAGAAAATTCAAAGCTGCGTGTCTAGGCGTGTATCTGTAACTGGCTAAAACTAGCTCTCTCTAGAATCGCTGGATACTTGCTATAAGCCTGGCTCTCACGACATTGATTGCTCTTAGAAACGCTCACACGTATATTCGCGTACAAAGGTAAAATAAATTCATCCGACAGGGGCGTGTTTGATCGCACGCTAATTACAAATTCATCGAAATAAAAAAAAAGAAAAATAAGAAAGAGAGAATAGTGGAGGAGGGAGATAGATAAATTAAGAAATTACGCCTTACGTCTTAGCTATATGCATATTTGCATGTTTAAAGTTGCCTACGGAGCGGCGGGTATTAGTTGCATGTCTGTTTCTTCCCGTTACAATACGCAGAAATATTTTTGCATGCATGCCGCGGTCCGTGAAGCACCTCGAGATTTCATAAGCGTTTCCTCGTTAACAAACGCCATTGGAGGAGAGAGAGAAGGAAAGGAACTAGAAAAAAAAACACGTTTCTCACGATATTTCATCCCGAGGCTGGCACCGATCCATCAAAAAAGTCCTAGACGAATTTTTCTCCACGCATCCGCAACTATGCTTCCGCGTATACGGATTTTTCAATGCGTCGCGAAAGTTCCTCCACGTCGGATAACACGTGCAAGCGTGACTCTCGTCGTGATCGTGCGCGAGATCATGCTTCCACATTAATGAGAAATCGATCGGTGCTCGATCGAATAAGTTGCGTGATACGTGCGTGTATCGCGTATACGGGGTGTCCCGTAGGTCATAGTACAATTGTGCGAGTTCAGGTGAGTACAAATTATTGGATTAGCAACTGAGTGATTGCGGATTTTGTCATTAGCTGGTAATTACAAAAACCGCAATCACTTAGTTGCCAACCCAATAGGTCGAAAATATACAACCAGATCTTTCTACACGGCGCTTCGTTTTCGATGAAATTGAATTTGAACATTTGCTTAATTACGGCAAGAGATTATCCTACGTGCGAAAACCAGTGAGAAACGTGGAATATTTCCCCGTTGAAGGCCTGGTTTTCCAAAACGCGTACCTGACAAATTCTCAAATCTCGTTCTCTCCAGAACGTGGTGTCTGACGAATAAATCCTATTCTACGTTTTCCACTTATCTTCGTACGTAGGATAATCTCATTTCGATCATTCGCTCCTGTTCCAAACGAAATTACCCAAACTCGGCTAGACTTCGAGATTTTCGAACTCGATTCCGTCGAAAAGGACGCGTCGTATAAAAGAATCGTATCACGTATATTCCCGACTTATCTTTCCACGTGGAACAACCACCTTGCCGATGGTAATATACAATTACTGGGACACCTTGTGTGCGTCGCGGAGAGTCGAGAATACTTGAAGCACGATCAACGACCGAGCGTCGGTGAAATCGTATAGAAATTCATTTCGTTGCCGACTAGACGCTATGATATCTCATCCATTTATGAGTCATTACGTTCTCACGATACCCTTGCTGCAAAACGTCTGAGAAATATTATCTGTAAATGCCTTGGTGGCAAGATGGCAAAGCACATAATCGATGAGGAACCTGTTAGACCAGAATTTTAAATTGAATCTTTATAGGGTATTTAGAAATTGCATGGTAAATGAATATCTGTCTGTGCGTGTTAAGAATATCGATTGGGATTCTCGTAAAGTTGATTCTTGAAATTTATTTGACTCGTGGTATTTAATTACGAGGAATATATTGGTTTTTGACGATTTCAATATTTGGTGCGTATAAGAGAGCTATCTCTGTGAATCGTTAGGTTGGTAGGTGATTTAGCGTATGGAACAGAACGTACAAATCGATTGTAAATAGCAATTAATCACGCAAGAATAATATTAACAAATCTTGGAAGATTCTACCGAATATCCTAAGTACAGAAAGTTTTGTTGTCGAAGTGGTCACCACTTCTAAGATAACTCTACATCTGATCTTTTTAGTTTTCTCAAGCACTGGACAGCGTATAGACGATAGACTGGAACGAAGGCAGACCATAGACAGTAGATAGGCGACGATGGCCTCGGCGTTTTCAGTTATAGGGTACCACCAGGGACCAGCTCAAATTATATTTCTACTTGTACTTACATTTCTGTATTAAAATATATTTTCTACTTTACAATTTATCCACGCGTCCTTCTGTTCGTACATCTAATAACCTCAACATTTATAAAACATGGAATCCTCACGGGGAACCTCTTATCTTTCATTCGATATTCTAATCCCAATCTCTAATCGATATTTTCATGCCTGTAAAAAGAACTTGAACCCGAGAAGAAACCTCAATTGCTACAAGCGTAGCTACTAGAAAACTACTAGAATACGCATTTTATAAACCGTTAGAAACTATTTATTATTGTTTAGTCCGTGCCTTTCGGCTTTGGACGAACTTCCGGTTTTACATCTCTTACACCTAATTCCCTTCTTAGATGTCTACCTCCCCTCTTTTCCACTCTATTCTATTGCACTACCTTGCTTATCCTACCTCTAAAAACTAAGCATTAGGAACTATAAATTATCAACTAACGACTAAAAACTGCTGCAACTTTGGTCTTTAGCCTCCTTATTGTGCCTCTTTCTTGTCGTTTGCCCTTCTCTTCTCTAGCATTGCTTTCAGTTCTGCTAAACCTTCTCCAGTCTTGTTCAGCATTTTTCCTATGTCTTTTGGTCCTCCCGTTATTTCACATTCTTCTATTACATGTCTTAGGTCTTCTTCTTTCCTTCTGCATAGTCTGCATCTTTTTCCCCCTCTTCTTTCCAGTATTCCCTTGCTTTGGTCTCGTTTGCGCATCTGAATCTTGCCAGTATTCTTCTGTCCTTCCACTTCATCCTCCCTTCTGAACACTTTGGTAATTTCTCTTTGGCTATGTTTCTTTATCCTTATCCTTTTCCCCCTCTCTTCTGTTTCTCTCTTTCTTCTTTCTTCTATAATTTGGTCTGCTGTCATCCCTTCTTGCTCCTCTCTTGTTTCTATCTGCGTCTATCTCCTTTTCTCACCTCTTCTAGTCCCTTCTTTCTCTTTCTTGCTCTTTTCCCTTCCTGACCATCCGTTAGAAGCTAATCAAAGAAGTAGCACACCGGTCACACGTTTCGATTATAATATGACGTAGTGTGTTAATAATACGCAGTGGCGAATTCGATTCACGTCTGCCTCAAGATCTACGAAGCATTCTAGAAGAGATACACGCGTTTAAATGCGATTTTCTAGCAAAGAAGGTGGACGATTAACACGTTGAACATGTAGATAGGAATTTCGACGACGTTACATGATCTTATGAAGTTTCTTCTTCGAGTTTTCAAGCGTCTAAAACGCTTCAAGTTGAAAACTTGCGACATAATACACGTATTGTAAGTTTAAAGCTTATCGTCTAACGACAAATTGTATTGTTACGTATTAAATATATACACACAAATATACAGGATGGTTGGTAACTGGTGGTACAAGCGGAAAGGGGTGATTCTACGCGAAAAAAGAAGTCGAAAATATAGAATAAACATTTTTCGTTTGAGGCTTTGTTTTCGAGAAAATCGACTTCGAATTTTCGCTCGGTACGCGTGCACTTTATCGCGTCTCGTCATAACGAATCTCACTGTAGATCGTTGTCTCGATGGAAAAATGAAAAAAAAAATTTTTTATTCCATATTTTCGACTTCTTTTTTCACGTAGAATCACCCCCTTTCCACTTGTACCACCAGTTACCAACCACCCTGTATATATATACATTGTACCTACAATTTCCTCGCCGTAGAAATAGAAACAGATTAAGAAGAAGCATTGGAAATGGACTGAGAAATACGAGAGAAAACGGTGTTTATCCGACAGATTTACCAAGAACTGATGTTCAGGGCTCGTTAACTAACTATGGCAAGGAAAATAAACGCGACGTCGAAGAAGGGAGGTTGATACCGTGACAATACAATGCCAAGGGTGAGTGACTATGAAACGAAACGCGCCAAGTGGAACCGCAATAGGGACCAGGAAGGAAAAAAAAAAGAATCTGCCAACCAAACAGCGCCTACCAGCTGGTAACGATCGTTTCACGCGATGATTTATTAGCAACGTAGCTGACACGATCGACGGCTTCGCATTCCAAAATAAACAACTCTGTTGACGTTGTTTTCGGTCTAAGCGCTGTGCAATTATTTCGATCAAAAAAGCAGAACCCTGTAAATAACGAAAAAATACGGGACAGGTGTTCGAGGTTTGTAAGAAATGTAAACAGTAACGGGAGAAGAGATATTTTGAAAGAGATTGGGAATAGAAAAAAAAGTCATATGTCGTGTAATTAAATGAAATCTGAATGAAAGAAACGTAAGTATTTTATGTATTAAAAAAAAAAAAAAAAGAAAGGAAAGAAATTGCAGAAGCATTAAAAACAGTGAAAAGCTTTTAGAGCGGGCAACAACACGCGCATTAGCATATCAGATATGATTAACATAAAACAACCCGGCATGAAAGAGACTAGGAAATTAATAAACCAGAACATAATTAGAAGTAATTAAGAAATAAATAAAAGAAGAAATCGTTTCACAAATCTAAAGAAGTCGGGATATAAAAACGGTAAAAGCTTTCGAAACATCCCATGATAACGCTAGAATTTCAGATAAAATTCGCCTGTAATGTTCGATATAAAGAAAGTTACGAGATAAACGAAATATTTTATAACAAAAAAAAAAAAATAATAAATAAAAAATTGTACAAACACGAAAAAGTTAGGAAAGGAATAAGAAGCAAGGTGAATCGGCACATAACACGAGATCATCGTCTGTTCCTCGATATTTGAACGAAGTTAAAAGATGAGCACAAAGGAAAACGCTTTTAAGGTAAAAGATAACATCAAGATTAAGATATGACGTTGGACATATTTCATCCTGACGCTTGAACGGTACTTAAAAAATAATTTCCACGTTCTCGTAAATATCTTACCACATACTACGTACGAATAACGTGTAAGCAAAAAAAAAGAAAAAAAAAAGAACGCACACACGTAACTAGAACGTGAAGTCGAGGCGTTAGAATATCTCCAAGCACTCCAGCGCGTAATTCACGCGGCAAATCAAGCCTCGTATAGGAAGTTACGCAACTGGCTTCTCTCAAGCGTGTCTCGATAAATTACATAATAAATGTCTCATAACTAAATTATGTAAAAGCGAACGGTACAACGCTACGTATAGATGTTGCTGACAAAAATTTCTACTATTGAAACGGAACGAAGACAGAGTTAGAACACTTAGCGGACTAACGAACGTGACGTGGGATGACTTGTCGCGAAAAGATCGAAGATCACGTAGATAAGATCGCATAGAATAATACATTTTCGTCTATCGCGATTGGTCGATTTTATACTCGTCGAAAGCTGGTTGCAAATATGCTTTTAACTGGGAAGTTCAAAGAGCAGTAAAAATGTCTAAAAATGTTTAACTTAACAGTAGAACTTTATCTGTTGGAACGAGATCTTAGTTAGTGGCCGATTAAACCAACTCCTGCTAGTTCAATCCATTTAACCGAACGTGAATTTTTATTGTATTGAAAAAAAAAGAAAAGAAAAGAAGAATCACGGGCGATGCGGAGGAATTCCTATTAGATCAACTGTTCTGTCCCCAGTCCCTTTCACTGTGGTGGAAAAATCTCCGCGTATTTTCGCGTATGAACACTTTAGATATCGCAACTGTTATGGAAAAATATTTCTGCAGTTTTTTTCTCCAGATAACTACAGCTTTTACGTTTTGTTTTTGGTAAATAATAGGATTGTGCTATTCCCGCAGCGAACGCGCGTCCAATGGCTGCAATTTATTGGAAAATTCTTAGAGCAGCGAAGGGAAGATCGAAAGGCTCGTGAAATCGTAAATAAAATACAGCGGCCTGAAAACATTCGCTGCGAAAGGAAACACACGGAGAGACGGTCACGTTTCTGCTCGAAATTTTCACGGCTGAAACGGAACGAAAACGAGGCTAAAACGAAACGAACACCAGCGAACGAACGATGGATACCCTTGTGCTTCTTGTAAATATTCAAACGAGTAGGAGCGGAACAGAACCAATCGGGCAGTTGCAGAGACGTGGCTAGAATGTGGGCCATCGCGTTCGAATCGATTTTTTTCGTCGACCGGTAAACAATCGATTCGAACAAACCCGTTTGGTTTCCGGTCGCGCGCCAGCATCGAAATGCCGCCAACAAAAACAGACGGACAGGCAGAAGAAAAAGGGACGAACGTGGACAAACGTTGGTGTTTGTTGGTCGAAAAATAAAGGGAGAAATTCGACCATTGCAACGTAACTGACGGAATGAAGCACCGGTGCTATAATAGACGGAATAAGAGAAAGAGAAAGGGAAAGACGAGAACAGAGGGTCGAATGAAAAGGAAACGAGACGAGGATGAATGGCGAGGCTAATGAATAAAACAAATTATCTGTCGAGAACAGGGTGTCCCGTTGAAGGAACAAATTGTCGCGAATGTACGCGAGAAAGGTACAGTAGCTCGTGAAAGTATTCGAATACTTGCAAATAAATACCTTTTACGAATACGCGCGTTGTGTATGTTATATGAAACATTTTGGAATTGTGACGAAACACGACTATAGCAATCGCAGATTGTTTTTCGACGTCTTAACGATACAGGGTGATGGCAGTTATGTCTGACTGTAGCCACGCGCTAATAAAATTTCGAGCTATTTCACGTGACACACGCGATATGGGAAAGATAGCGTAGATACCTTTTAGTTTCTATGTTTTCTTAGTCTTTCGTGACAAGTTTTGCAACATTGAAAACGTCCAGGACATCTTTTAAACTGATCGTTTTTCGACTCAACTATCTTCGCAACATTCTTCTAGAGAATTCAAAAATGCATCGACCAGTGTATATAGAAGAATGTATTGCATTGACAGAAGCGACCTTGAATTTTTATCGAAGTAAAACTTTTCTCGATGTTCTTAATATGAAAATTCGTAATCGATCGAAAGCCGATTAACTTTCGTACGAAGCGTCTCTTCGCCCGAAGAAATAGCGAATTTTTGCGCTACACCGTATACGTACGTACAAATTATTAATAGTCAGCGTTCGGATACTTTCATGAGCCACTGTATGTCTTTGGTCGACGACCAACTACGACAAGGTTGCTGAAAAATTGGCTAAAATGGAGAGAAAAGAAAGGAAGCGAATTCGGTAATAAAGCGGATGGTTGGGTAGACGGGTAAGCGTATCCGTCTTGTTTTTCCTCGTGCTCTTCCTCTCGTGGATGACAAACCAATTTGAATCGCGTTATGGTATCGAATTAAACCAGCCCTTGAAAAGAACGAGATTTCAGCAGAGAATCCGCTTGGAATTTGCATAAGTATTGGTCTTTGTACGCGGCCTCGAAACTGGAATTAATCGATTCGTTTAAATCGCCTTCCGATCGTTGCTGAATTTTTAAGCATGTTTTTGTTCTGCGAGGGAACAAGGGTTTTGTTTAAATCGTTGTTATCGACAGTCTGATATCGGTGAAACGTTCCATGGATCAGGATTTTTATTAAAACAGAGATGGTTTGTTGTTTGTTAGCTTAAATTTCGTTCGTTGTAGGCATATTGTGTATTTTTGGTTTTTAAAAATTTAGACGGCAAGCAAATTGAAAGTGGAGATGGTTTGTTTAAACGATCGTTTGGTTAAATTCTGCTTTTTGTAATCGCATCGTTCGTTTTCTGTATTCGGAAGAATTTAATTAATTAATAAATTTCGCAGCTTTGTCTCTTTTTAACGGTTTAATTGAAAATTTTGTTTTATTTTTTTTTCCATTGTATCGTTGGACTTTCCAAGGAGCTTTCGTTAATTGTTTAAAAAATTGGATATCCAGTGAATTATCGAATGCCGAACGTTTCTCTTTGCTTGAAACTTTTCTCATTATATTTGCTTCCTCGTCGAAGATCAAAACGAAAGACGAAAGACGTTCTCTATTTCACTTTTGTTAATTAATAATAAAATTTGAGCGCGATATTAAAAAACGCTTTTCTCTCTTTAATCTCTCGTGCGAATAATATTTCGAAGCTAAAAGAA